CCTCGTATGGTTCTTTGTGCACTCCAGTGAAGGCATTGACGGTGTGGGAGGGCAGGAAGTGGATTGGCATGGAGGTTTCGAGTTTTTAGGCGATGAGCGGCGAAGAGTCATTGGATACTTCGTCAGGAGGTCGGCACGACCACAGCATGCTAGTGTTAACGGGAGTGTAGGTTTCTTGCAAGAACCCAACACCGGGCAAGTCCCAGGTGTGGTTGCGCCGGGGCATGTCCCACGGCCGGGCTGGGTGACGTCACGTACTGATCCCAAGGGGTTCTGGAGGTTCTGGTGCGTCGGGCCTAAACGTTGTAACGTGACGAATTACGCTGGTACAAGCCGCTTACCAAACTTCAGTGCAGGTGCCCAGTCCACCCCCTGACCCCCACGTATGGTAACGGCAGAGTGTTTTTACTTTGGATGCAGAGTTGTTAGTGAGGAACGGAGGGTGGGCTGCATGGTCTTGTGAGTCAGGTTGTGTTCTTTCTTGGTCGACAGAAGAGGCAGCTAAGTAAACACCCAACTGACTGACTGACTGACTGACTGACCCTTCACCCATAAGAATCATGATGCAGAAAAGGGTTTACCATTTGCCTGCTGCATCCCGCGCCGTGACGTCGCAAGGGGCAACAAGACCTAAGTCCAGTCAAGAAGCTTCGACCGGCAAGTCTAGGACTAGGAAGATTAAGGTGAAGTCTGCATGTACCAGAAATGGTAGTTTCCCCAAATAGGGGGACCAAAAAAAAACTCTCATATACTCTTGTTGTTATTGGGAACCCCATAGAGGTACCCCTAATTTGGGAAACGTCTGGTCAAGTTTCCCTATGACAGCGCAAGCTTGCGAGGTGCGGTTGCTATGATTCTAGCTACTTTTTGCGCTTTGAAACAATCTTGCTGCTCCGTTAATGACGTATACACTGCAGATTACAGTACTCGGAGGATCCTGAACGAGGTTCGCTGCGTCCTCTTCAGAAAAGCTGCTGAGAGTGACTTTCCACCCGAGGCGCAGGCAGGGCACAAATATGAATGAATTAGGGGCTTGCGTGCTTCAGTGGCAGAGTCAAAGTAAGTCTGATTTGGGGCAATTGGTGAAGCTTCTGATACATGTCTTAGCCTGCATTAAAGAGAGGACTTGAACAACAAACGAGAAAGAATGCTATAGCTCTGAATGACTTGGTGCTGAAGCTTTTGCACGAGTGCTTTTGTGCATATGCATAGTAGCAGGGTACAAAGGTGCGGAGTGATGAGTTTGTATGAGATCACTGCTGGGTTTGGTTGCACCGATTGATTTGCTGCGAGCCAAATGTTACAAACCGCAGGGAGGTGAACGCAAAAGCTAAGCGCCACTGCCGCATGGGTGTTCCGCAAAATCACGGTTCCCCTATGCCTGAACTAGCGGGAATCCCATCACAAGGACCCATGCGAGGGACCGAAACGCGCACGTGGGAGCTTGCATAAATGACTGTTCCCAAACAGAGGACCGATGCGAGGGTTTCCATAAATGGGGGGGTCCTTGGCTTAGATCCCAACAGCCTATGATCCTTATGATTGAACTCCCAAGAAGGGGGCCCCAACAGCCTATGATCCTTATGATTGAACTCCCAAGAAGGGGGCCCCAACTTACGGAAACCCGCATACTCAGCAAATCTCCGCAGAACGGCCGCAGCTAGGTGCCTACCCAGAGCCCCATCGTCAGCACGAGTCCTGAAAATCTACAGCAAGGCGAATCTGTCCGCGCACTTGCAGGAGCTACGGTGGATACTAGAAATCCTGCATGACCCTAGATACCTGATACTTTGGGAATTATGGTACTATACTATAGTAAGGTCATGCAGGATTTTTCGTATCAACAGTAGTTGTAGGCTTCTCAAAAACTTGCGGTCATAGCTGCAGCTAGTAAGCAGGTCGCAAGGTCGCAAACACCCAGCCATCCAGCACATGTTTCAGGGCCATGCCAACCAACACATGACCCAATTGCTCATGGCTTTATCCAAGAGTGGTTTCTCTCAGAATCTCCCAGGCGCGGGCACGTCAGGGCAACAAAGGTCGCATTGATCAACCAAGGGCGTACACCTGAAGCACTGGTCTTGACTGGTAGCGTCTCAAGATCATGGGTCCCATTGACCATCTTGATAAATAGCTGAACCATGTCCTCTGAAAAAGAACTACTCCTGCAAGGGTGGGCATCGCAAAAAAAAAGGTAGGCCTATAGAAGCACATGTCTTGCAGCTGTCGAGCCTCTTGCACTCTGAGAGGAGATTTCCCATGGCGGCAAGCGGGTCAGGGTAGCGTCCAAGGAAAATGTTGCTGCAAGATACTGTGCTTAACTAACAAGGCTTACAGCCCAAACTGCTGCTCTCTGGACTGGCTTCCAAGTTCGTCCCAACGCATTCTGTCGACAAAGTCGGCTGTTGATGTCAGAGCTGAACCCGATACCGTCTAGGACCGGGGTCATGGGTGGGCTAGCTGTCAAGCATGCGCTTTTGGATTGTGCTGAGGAGTTGAGCCGAGTGACAGGAGTTTATCAATCATGTATGTGGACACAGGGAATTGCAGTATTTGCTCAGCTCAGAAAGAACGAAACTCCAGCTTTTGCAAACACATCGCAGCCGCACAGGATTTCACCGACCTCAGTGATAAGGTATCAAGCGCACAGCTTGGCGTCGCGCTGACCCGGCTCCTACAGTACCCATCCAAAGAAGCCAAGCATGTGGCATGTTGCGAAGAAGTCGCAGGAAAGAGAGCCGCGGATGAAGCACATACTAGCCCCAAAGTCGAGGACCTTAAGCAAGCTGCCAGCGTGCAGGTGCTTTATGAAATAACTAAAGCAATTGTCACAGTAATAGTCACACTTCTGGGCAGTAGTTTGCGATTGACGCAGCTCAGGGAGATGCATTTCTGCATGTGCACACAAGCGCATGATTTCCCGATGCACTCTCACGTGTCAGGGCATGGGTAGCTCACTTCCTAGCAAGCTGTGTCCTGCATGACGCCATCTTCCGACTCCCAAGAAGTGAAATGATCAGAGGCATCGCGGCTCTCGATCTCATGATATATGCTGCCGGACCACAGCAGTCATTGCTGCGCCATGCTTGAGACCGGCTGGGACGTCGGCTGCTGTTGATGCCATTCGCGGGAAATAGCTGCGACGAAAATCCACCGTGATAATTAAGTTTTCAGTAGCCCTTTGTCTTGTCGACGAGACTCGTGAAACCAGAGAATGCCTCTGCAGTGAACTCATCTAAGCGAGTCCGAAACAGGTCCCAGGTCAGCTGCATGTACCTCGCGCATTCCGTAGGAGCGAATGCCAGTAGCATGAAACTTATGTTGTGGACGTCTAGACCTACTGAGGAACATGTGTATTTTTGCTGCTCCATGCACCAGTTTTCCTCTGAAACATGCTTTTCATGGAAAACTCTCCTTAGGCAGCTCATAGACACCTCCAGACAAATTCCTTGCCAGCAAGGCACGTGCTCGTAAGATCAGCGTTGTGCGGGCTTAGCAACCTCACCCAGCAGTACACGAATGCAACGGGGTGGTGCCTTCCCCAAAATACGTATTCTTTTAATGCAAGCATGGATGTCTTTGAAACGGGGGTGTTGGGCGCAGCCCCCCCCCCCTTGCAAATAAAATCATACGGTATCCCTGAGGTACAGATCATACTATCTGGGCTGCAGCCTGGTAGCAGGTTTTCGCAGCTCCAAACTGCAGCATCTGGTGGCAGCGGCTCCTGCCAGTGTAAGAAAAAGCGCAACTTGCTGGCACATGAATTTGTGGTGTCCTGTCCTTCTCAAAGACGTCCAGGGCCGCTCCTGCAAGCTCGCCGCCATTCAACCTCGAAATACCAACGCGATACCTTCAACCCAGAGGACTTCGTGGACTCCACTGCTTACTGCAAAGTGTCTAGACAAATTTCCGGCAAGCGACGCTGCCACCAGGGCAGCCTCATCCACGCATGAACCTGCAAGGACACATAGTTTGTGCGGCTTACAAGAAGTGTTGGATTCTGTCCTCTTTCTTACGAAAAGCGCCTCGACCCATGGAGATGAAGATGGAGGTGGGCTTCATCGCCTGGACGCAAGGCACTGCTCCGGGCTCGAAACATAAAAGGCTACCGAGGTCCTCTGCAATGAACAAGAATAGCATCTCTTACGTTGGTGCAGAGCATCCCAGCAACAGCACTGGTGCAATTCAAGATCAGATTGGACTTCCCCGCTTGTTCAAATCTGGAAAGCAGGAGCGTGCAAAAAGGCGGTGAGTGAAAAGGATAGTGAGAGGTTCCCTTGATCTGCCTTGAACTCGTCTGCCTGAGCTAGGTTGCCACACATGGACCTTCTGAAAACGCCAACCACAACTGCAAAGAAGTCTGATAGAGCCGAGTTTCACCGCAGCAGTGGTATGTTGCAGCACTGCCAGGCAGCGTGCAAATCACATAGTCTGACTGCTTGAAGACATCCTGACAGGGAGTCCAGGAGATCACAACTGGAGGTTTCTAGCCAAGCTAGCCACTGTACCAAACGTAATGTACCTGCCTGCTTTGCACTTGCTCCGTCGCTGGAGTAGAAGACTTTATCAGCCAACTCCTCACCGGGAGCTCCCCGGGTGTTCCTCCAAGCAAGGATCTGCATGCCGAAAGCTTTGCAAAGCCGAGCCGTGCATTGCGCGATGTCGCCAAAGCCGATGAAGCCCACCGTTTGCCCGTGCAGCTCATTCATGATAAACTTGTCCCAAGTCTTCGTAACCCGATTACTCTGCAGTCTTGGTATTTGCTTGTTGAAGTGCAGCATAGCTGCAAGGGAGTACTCGGCCAAGGATCTTGAGAAGGCTCCCTTGGCGTTGGTCAGCGGAATCTCCGGGCCGCCCGGCAGAGAGTTGAGGACAGGCACGAGTGTGTCGACGCCTGCGGCCAGGCTGTGGATCCACTTCACATTGGTGATGTGCGGCCACAGGTCGGCGATTACCGTAGGATTTCCAGAAGCAAACACTGCCAGCACGACAACGTCCACTTCTGCTAAGCTCTTCAGGTCCATGAACTCAGCCAGGGAATTGCCGACTAAGCACGTTGCCTTCCTTGGCTGTATTGCTTTTGATTCTCATTGGACAGGGCTGAGAGAGTGCACGAAACTTAAAAACCTCTTGCGCGTAGTTGCGTGCCAGTCGTGGTAGCTAGGGAAGCTAGGGACTCAATATCGGCAAGGTGCTCAGCAATTTGCGGGAGCAGCTCAATCAATGCTTTTCCATTAGCCGAAGAGGCATCAGCCACCACTGCGATAGTGGGCATCCAGATTCGCGTGATCTCTTAATCAATGTGACTTGAGCAACTGGTGTTGCAGACTTGCATCAAAGTGGAAATAGCGGCGGAGTGAGACTCAAAAGAGAGATAAACAAATACCGAATACCGAATCATGTATACATGAGTTCGTTGATAAATACCTGTCGCGGAACAGCTGCCATTTTCATACATCTGCTTGTTTCGAGTTGCCATGCAACTGCGGATAATGTGGAAAGCTGGCGCAAGTCATCTCGTCATGCGGAGGCTCACAGAATGGGGTATACAGGGCATACTTTGCAAGACAGCATTGCAGCAAAGGTGTTTCAAAAGCAGGCACCCTGACCTATGCTGCCTCTACCGAGGGAGGAAGGCCCTTTGCTGTTGCTTGTTTGCAGTGCTGCTAGAATCTTATGGTATATATCGCAATATACCATAGTATATTAGCGCACAATATAGATTACCATTATACTACTAACCTATTTGAAGATTCATCCCCAAGGGCCACAGAGTGCATGATTTATTCAGCCTTTCAGGGCTCTCACATGCAACGGCTGGGAAAAGCGGATAAGCTTTCGTTCTTGCGCAAGAATTGTAATGCTTCAGAGAGGATTGGGGCATGAACATTGCAGCGGCGACTTCATGTGTCTAATGTCGTTGCCGTTCCACTGGGCCAGTTTTTGGCTGCCCTGCCCCCCCCCCTCCAGATTCGCATGAAGACAAAACTCAACATGCGCAGTGCTCGGTTGGGGAAAGGCTGCATGGAATGGCTATATTGCTAGCAACACTAAGGACCAAACAGACAAACGTACTAATTATGACAAAATGCTTTTGAGGGCTTAGGATTCGGCATGGCCGTCCTTCCTTAAAAAAGCCCTGAAAACCCCTTCCGCGGTTCAGAGGAAATATGAGCCCTCTGCCTGCCTACTCGATCGGAACATGTTTGTGCACAAGCGCAAGGTTTTGATGAAGGCTTGGCAGTGTAGGTGCAAAAGCTTCGAAAACAGTGGTGTCCATTTCTTTTCCATTACCCCGATACAACCCCAATATTACTTCTATGTAACCCTAGAATATTCCTCATATATTCCCGAGAGTCCATGTCATTTTCAGCTGTCTTTTGCATTTGAGTCTCCAGTATCCCAATATCACCCCAATATTGGTAAGCAAACTAAGCCACGATTGAAAAGCGATGCTTGGCCGAATAATTCCGAGAATATAGGGATAATGGAAAAGTAAATGGAAGCTACAGGGATTATAGGGGTTACATAGAGGTTATATTAGATTATGTAGGGGTTATAGGATTTTATAGGGGCTACTTTAGTGTATTGAAATCAAATAGTATGGGGATAATGGAAAAGAAAATGGAAACCACTATATGAGCCATAGTCTAAACACCTAGTATCCCCCTTGATAACCCCTATAGTACCCCCCATATAATCCCCTATATAACCCCCCTTTAAGGAGTTTAGACTATAGCTCACATTAAGCC